ATTATATATATATATATATATATATATATGTGTGTGTATGTATATATATTTTTCTTAATGTTACTTTTTATAATGATAGGTGTAAATATAGCACTGCGACGTCCGAAACAAAGAAGCACTGGAGATGCAACGGTTGATAGTCGAGGCGATAGGCGATCCTGGGGGACTGAGGAAGGTCAATCAATATATTGCAATGATACAGGAGAGGATTATACCAGTCGTCGTAATTCCAATAAAAAAATTAATCCGGAACCAGAACATGAAACTGAGTTTTTGGTTGTTACAAAGAAGAAAAAGAGTAAAAAGCAAAGAAGAAGCTCCAGCGGCAGTAGAGCACAAAATCTGACAACGTCGGGATCATATCTTCAGAATTCCAGAGGATTTTCTAATGATTACAGGACGCCTCTTTCCCCTGAACTCCGGAGAAAATCGGCTAGTAGTATGCCTCCGAGGTAATAGAACAATAATTACATATACATGATAATTCAATTAAATATTCAAAGATTTTAATTTTTGAATATATTTGTAATTTTTTGCAGTGACAAGTCAGCAGATAGTAGCGATTTGGATTCGGTTCATTCGTTACCAGTTACGTCAAATACTTCAAAGCACAATTTGTCCAAAGTTGCAACATCATCGGGCGGAACGCCACAAGCGAGTTACGCAGACATAGCGCGTATGGCTACTATCAACATGTCGCACAATCTAACTATGTCTGCCATGTTAAATACATCCTCATGGCCAAGCGTTCCACCTAAAACCCTTTCGGAACCGGATAAAGTGCCTCAAGATTATTATCCGAGTTTAGACGAATTACAACACTCGGAAAAGAAAGCAAGACAGCAACAGAATTTGGCCCAGTCAAATCATGCTGCAGCAACTCTGAGTCTGGCTTTCGAGAAGCCACTTTCGCCGACTCTGACGAAGATGAAGAATTCGTCAGACAGAAAGAAAGCCGAAGCTCAGGAAGAAGCCATTAATAAAAATATCCAAGTGTTTAAATACGTGCAAGACATTGAGAAGATGCACGAAAGTCTAACGCAAGCGACAGAACACAAGGAACAAAAACACGTGACTCCCACCAATTACAATACGAATCCAAACGAGACTAATACTATAACAAATACTATAATGCCGAGATACAATAATAATAGTACAACGATGAATTATAATCCAGTTGATGCTGATAACAATCCTAATTGCAGCATCAATAATAAAGATTCTGTTACACACCCACGAGCCAGCAATTCTCGCTCTCGTAGAAACTACGTACACAGCAATCAGAATGTACAAACTCAGGGATCGCACGAGGAACACATTAAAAAGACTACGACTACTTACCATGAGGAAGCGGTTAAGAAGTCGCATAACGCCGATGTTGCGCAATCCGAGAGGACTAATCCAATAGTTGTCTCGCACGACGGGGCGGAAGCGCAAAAGTTGAAGACTGCAAAAATACAAGATACGCAGAATGTCGAACCCGAGTCTGGCCACAATAAAATGACGAGCGGCGATCTGAGGACAATAAGAGTCGCAAAAGAATATCAGAACATCACGATGAAACACGATGCGACGAAAGTCGGAGTCTGTCAGCCGCAAAACTCAAAACAGGACAATCAGCAGCGCGACGATGCAGAGAACAAGAAGGCAAAGTCGCAGAACGTACCGCCCGAGAAAGATCAGTCACAAAGATCATCCACGGAAACGCAGCAGGCAAAAAATTCGACACCCAGACCTGCAGTGATTCTTTTGGACGAAACTTCCTCGGACGTTGCCAAAAACAATAATCTACCGACAGAGCTCACGTTTGGCTTTGAGATAAACGAGCAGCTGCTGCTTTCGGAGGACAATGGCAACGAGGAGATTCCAACGATCACGGCGAATCCCGCTTTCCCTCCGACCATATCACCGCTTGTCAACAAACCGCCCAACAATTTTGAAAGGAATCCGCCGTTGTTTGCCGAGAAACCAGTGAGATACGATAAGTTCTCGTCGAGTTATCATATGCAGCCGCCGAACGCTCACGTGACACCGGCAAATGCTCATCCCGTAACACCTGTGCATCCGGTGATGGTGCAACCGTTACCATACATGAGCTACCCCACTACTAGATTCGCACCGCCAACATATTTGCCACCGCCACCTCCACCACCACCAGGAATCATGGAAAAGTTTCATCCGCCGAAGGAAGACTTCTCTATGCTTTATGTGGCGCCCGAGGAAGAACTAAATGTGCAGACGTACAATCACGATAAGATCGTGTCCTTCGTTGGCTTAGGTAAGCTATCAGTATCTCCTTAACTAGCCTTATCAAATAAGTTACTCGATGACATTCTTTTTGCTTATTCTTCGTATTTACTTTATTCTTGTTTTATCGATAGCATGGGATGCTGTCATGAGAGAAATGCCAGTGACTGCGACCGGTCGTATACAGTTCTATAGTGGACAGTGAAGTGAGAAAGCTTTCGACGCACCGAAGGGAACAGGCAATAAAGAAACTTTTCTATCGATAAACCACTTCCATTACAAATAGCTGGTTCGATGAGTTTCTTACGAAACCAGATACTTGTACATGTCGCGCGTAGTTATTTTTCCTGGACGAAGAATTCGTTCGGAGGATCGCCTATCTTGCTTCTTTGAATCAAATGCTGAGTCAACGCGCGAAATTGATGGAGCCGAGTGGTGCAAAGTGTGCCTCAAAAGATAATAATAGCAATGTATATATAATCAGTCGACAAAAACAAAACGAATGGATGAGGAAAAGGGATAAAGTGTATATTCCAGCAATGTACATTGTACTTGCATAAATTTCCAACAATGATAATGTCGCAGAACTTCAGTATTGACAATTAAGAACGTTTAATCAGATCTCTCAAGGGAGAGAAAGAGAGATGTATCTTGTTTCTTTGAATAAAAGGAACTTCCAACGTACGAGTCACGCGTGTACATACGTCAAACATCCCTATAAATTTTTGAAGATTGAGTTTATATAACGATCTTAGGTGTACAATCTTAAGTGCTTAAAAAAAAACGCTACAAAAGAAATATGGATTTGTAGTAACCAGGTCTACCATAAAGCGGGTCTCGCGATGGAAGAACTTTGCGCATTGACAGTGGTGTCTCCTGGTGCCTTTGGAGTTGCAAATCTTCAAGCGAGTCAATAGGGAAGCGTTGAAGAAGCTTGTACTAATCGAGTCGAGAAATCTGTGACAAGTATCGTGAAAACATCCATGGCTTTTTGAACTCTCGAACTTGGGATGATTTTAAGTGGACATCGTGGAAAATTAAAAACCAGCGGGTTATGCATTGGTGAGTCGAAATATGACGAAGGTCAAAATATACAGATATTGTACTTTACTCGATGTAATACAAAGATTTAAGTTGTGCGGACTGTAAATCAGAGAGATATGTAAATGCGCCGTCGTGTAATATATTGAGATAGTGTGATCGACTTAGAACTCAGAGTGGCTACTTCTTCCAGTTGTGGAGCATTCGATAGCTTAAAAGTAGGAGAAACAAAAGGGTCACTAACTGAGTTTCGAAAATGTCAAAGTGCGCTCAAAGTCTGGTCAAATGTCTGTGAAGATAGAATGCCGAGTGTGTTGCAAAATGATAAATTTTTACACAGACCTGCTTATTTAATAAAAAAAAGATGATATTGATATAATTATTCATAACGATAATTATAAGAGATGCTTGTGATCAGTAAAAATACAATGATGTGTGAATGCGCGTGTGTAAATTCGTGTGAACTGCATTGGTTGATTATGAAGATGAGATTGCTGTTCGATTGCGGAAGTAAGCATCGCACCCATCGGGAATGCATGAGGACGATTCGCGCGCATTGCATTAACATATATCGTTTGCTCATTAAATGTAACATTAAATGTAATTCGATTTTCAAATTCTATGAGCGAGGCACCTTTCCAATTTCTAAGCCTTCGTTTCATCAAATGTATTTTATCAACGATCTATCACTTTTTTCTGAAATATTTTTTTCTTATATTTTCTTTTTATCTTCGGGGCATTGTTTACAGGTGTAGAGAATAAAATGCGAATGTTACCATTTCGAAGTGTGTATAAGTGGGAGTATATACGCTTTTATGTAACATAATATGTGTATATACGGAAATGTATATATACGGACTGGATCTTTTAAATTAAAAGTAAGAAGAAAAAAAGGGTGTGTGTATGTGTGTGTGTATATATATATATATATATATATATATATATATATATATATATATAATAAATACCGTATTACTTTCTAAATTAGTATATGACCTAGTAAATAGTACCTAAAAAAATTAGAAGTACCTAAGAAAAAGTTAGTAACGTACATATACGTTGCTTTTAACTACTGTAATTATATGATTTTTAAATGTAAGTCTATACGAATTCTGTAACCTCAGGGCACGTTGCAGGTCTGGTGTTGTGCTCCAACTGCATTATAAATGTTAAAATAATGCATTTAAAACTTTACTTACATCTTTTAGCTCGTTTCGCCTCTCGCTCCGTCGGGACGTGATGCACATGAATACATTTTAATAATTGTAATGATTTAATTACTACAATTGTTCGGTTATTGCGAAAAACAAGAACAAAAACGGTCGTACAGCAATCTCATGTATCTCATGGAGAGATGAATGTATGGGATGCAAATTGTGGAAACTTATCGCCTTCATAGGTAATGATAAAACAAAATTATCATAGATAAGTTTCATAAGAAAGCATGAAAGTTGTACTGTATGTAGTATTATAACGCGAGTTAATTATTATTAATGAATTAGGATTGGTAAAAGTTTGTTATATATCGTTCTTTCTTTGCGGAAAATATCAAAATTGTGTAAAAACGAAAAAAAAGATAACCGTGCTCCGTTGAGGATTTTCATTTTTGTGCAGTATATAAGAGATAGATTCCAGCTGGAAGTACAGCTTACGAAATAAGCGAAAAATCGAGATATTTAATTGTACGACGCAAGCGTTATCATGCATGTCGAAGAGTAACTCGGAAAAGAAAGTATGATCTCCTCCCCCTGTCCCCCGTGTCGCGACTAAAATGTTTATTGACCAAATGTCTGTTTTTTTTTCCCCTTTTTCAAGCAACTTCGCGGGAGAACCAACATTGCGTTGTCAAAATGTTAAATGCGCATCCACGCTTTTAGTTATCGTCTTCTTCCTTTCCTTTTTTTTTTTTTTTTTTTTTTTTTTTTTTTTTTTTTTTCCTTTTATTATTCTATGTTTTTACTATTCTAGCTTTTGTTTGTCCAGTGTTCAACGTTACATTCCAAAGTAGTATCGCGAGAACTGCCTTTCCCCGTACCATTTTTTGTTCCTTAATTTCCCCTATTGCGTTCCATCCCTCGTATGTTGCCCCGACGGAAACGGTATACCGACTGCTCGATTTCTTTTCTTCTCCATTATCTTTTTATTTTTATTTTTACACACGCCTCCCTCGACACAATCGTGACGATTGTATCTCGCGGGGCACGCCGGTTGTGTTACTTTGACTGAATGAGCCGAGCAGCTTCCCGTTGTTTCCTCTCTCACCGCGGACGATACCTTTCTTTCCGAGCTACTCCGATCCGACACGCGAAGAAGAAACTACATTCGAGAAAAAAAAAAACACGAGGAGAGAGAAAAAAAGAAAAGTAAAAAAAAGAGTCAGGTGCTCCACTCGCCTTAAATGCAACTGAATGCAGTCTCAGCCTGTGCCATGTTGACCGGTTCAAATGGCTAAAGTGATAAGAAAAAAAAAAAGAGTTCGCGAAAACTAGTGCAAAATGTACTTGTGAGAGAAGGACTAAGCACGAGGAGAAAGAAGGAGGGGAAAGGATGGAAGGAAAATAGGACCATTTAACACAGTGTACATAGCGAGTGTGAGGCGAGGGTGGCAGCTAACGCCAACCTGTGCCGCACGTTGTAGAGTATATATAATTACTTAATGAGAAATTTTTTTTTCTTTCATTCGATGGACACGCACGGTGAAAACGCGCGAGACGTTCGTCGCGGACCAGCCGGGACCGATTCTTGTCTCTTCGATCCGCACGCGCAATCAGAATCAGAGACGGTTAACGACGAGTGACGTAACTCGAGATAAAAGAAAAAGGACATAAACGACGAGGAACAAAAAGAAATAGAATAGAAAAGAAAACAAAAATGAAATCACGTTACGCACGAATCGCTCCCTTTCCCCCCTCTGTCCCCTTACTGTTTTCGTTTATAAGCGTTTATGAAGAAGAATAAATACATGTTTATTTTCTTTCACGTCGATCAGCATCTCCCATTCATTTTAGGACAGCGCCTCGCAAATTCGCCGTTCATAATGAGATTCGTGTAGAGAGCTCGCATCCATTGTTTACCGTTCTCCGGCGAATCTCTACGAATCTCAATCGATTCGCGTTGATTCGCATACAGAGGTGCAAACAATGAGTTACGAATCTGAGTCTGAGTTCATTATTGATGAATGACGAACTTCTGCGAATTTGCGACGAGTTAAAAATTGCGCGTAGCCATAGCCTAAGTTATGTACAGACGTTTCTGCGAGAATCTAGCCCGTTTCGTACAGATCTTTAACTCTTTGCGATTATGTTAAAATTTTTTTTTTTTTTTTTTTTGAGTATTTCGTTTTCAATTTTATTTAATCAGCCAGTCTAATATAAATCATAAAATTTTTATTATTTGTAGGAGACTTCAGGAGTCCCCTTCTCAGAGATGTAGTTTGTCATATTAATTCGAACGCCTGAAGAGAATCGTTAAGAAAGAAATTAGGAAGCATTCGATCGAGATCAACTCGATATAGGATCACAAAGGGTTAATCTTCTTGCCGCATCCCCTCATTCATACCGTTTTCGACATCTGCCGTCGTTGATCGCTCGCGTGGAAAGCGACGAAAGAGCGAGGTCGTCCCCGGGTCCGAGGGGTTCGCCTGGCAGCTGGTTGTCGCGGCTACCTCGGAGGATAGTTACGCGCAGCTGGCTGCACCAGTCCGGAGCGAAGGAGCGAGAGCACCCGAATGTCTCGCGGGAACTCGATTCGACGACCTCGAATCATTGGTCCCGTGCCCGTGCTGTATAATTTGTTATTCGATAACGAAACGATTCTTCTCACGTATTGTACATACGACGCTGTATGATATAACATTGTACGATTATTACCAACGCTACGGCAAAATTATCCAACTAAGATTACAATTAATGCCGCTATTATTAGTGAGATGACAAACGAGAAAGAGAGAGAAAAGTGTGTATGTCGAATTGTGATCCTGCGTGCGTGTGAAAGGCTGTGCTGTCCAGCTGCAAAACGATGCGAGTGTGTTGTTGCCAAAGTTCCCCCTTTTTGCGAGCGTGAGACGGTGTATTTGATGATCGTCGAGTCGTATTCGCGAGCGTCGGCGAGCTTCGTCTCGGAGAGGTGGCAAATCAAAAACCCGCGTTCGTCCGAGAGAGAAGCGGCGCTGGACTTTTCTCCGAGGCGAGACCGAAGCTACAAGAAGAGAGAAGAAAAATCGCTCATAAATCTCGTCTTTATCCGCTTAATTTCGCTACGGGGACAAACCTACGGCTTTTAACTTCCTATTTTTTACCGAATTTCCCAGACCCAGAGAATCCTCGGAGAGACTCCGCGTGTAAATCTATCTCCCGCTCGGGAGTATGACGATTCTCTCTGTATGTGTGTCCGAGCGTTCGCAGATTTATCTGGTGAGATGCGACTTTTCTTCCAAGGCTTCTTTCGTAAAGACATGAACGTTTCGTTAGATTGTTAACATTTAAGGCGTCGAAAAGCACCCGGACAAGACAGCGAACTCGTCCAAGTGTCGTTTGTGCGTGCTATCTTTTTCCGTTTCAACGACGACAGATTGTTGAAGGCACCGCTTGTGAGAGGAAAAATTGTAACGTGCGTGAAAAAGCGGGAGAGAAACAGAGAGTACATTAGTATGGAAATCAGAAGGCGTGTTACGATTTATTCTCAGGTGATGTATTCACGAACACGGACGCAATACACGTGGCTTATTATTTTGTTACTAACGAATATTGTCAAATATACATCAAAGCTATTAATGGACCACGTTTGTGAAGGGTCGTTCGGAATCGTTGCCATGGAATGTAAAAGAAGTACGCTAAAATATGTATGAATGAGAGTGGTAGAGAGAAAGAGAGTGAGAGGGGGGAGAGAAAGAAACAGAGGGAGTGGATAAACATTTCGCTACTTCTGCGAGAGAATTCCGACCCTCCCCGGGTGTGTTCTGAGAGGGAAGCGTGTAGTGTCCGCCATTTGGCCTTTATGCTGTCTTACTTGCGATTTCGTACAAGCTTTGCGTGCAATACTGTGATAAAAAAAGAAAAGAATGAGTCGTTCTCTATTTCTCTTCGTCCTTTCTCCTTTTCGAAGCGCGTACACGCGCGTACATACGATACGATGCGTACAATGTGAGATCGGCGCACGTGTATAAGTATATATCGCCTGTTTTCAACCGGTCCCTTAAAACGAGTTGCAAGCATCCGTTTAACATCTGTTTCTAGTGTAAATTAGTTTCAACCTCTCAGCGGTTCAATTTATTATTTATCCTTTTCTAATTCTTGAAGTTACAAAAGGATAAAAAAAAATAGATTAAATCAGGAAAGTGTTAACATCGGTAAATAGACGTAATTCGCGTAATTTGTGTTTCTGGCGTACACACACGCGTACTTTTAAATTTTCTCCGGAAAACAAGCTCGACGGACGATCCATCGTGGCCTATCTGATTTCTTCTTTTCGTAGCGATCGCTCTCGCACGATTCTATTTGCGCGAACTTTTCGTGATCTTAACGACTGTTACAGTTACGTGGATTTATAGTCAATCTTCTCTCGACGATCGGTATATCGCGTAATCGCATAATATGTACGGATTATCTGGACGCATTAGCTTCGTACTGCCATCGCATTGACACATTTGTTCCTAATTGTTGCATCGCAAGTTAATATAAGTTTATATTATTATGTTTGTTATATATAGATATATTACAAGTAAAGTGGTGTTAGTTATTAAAACGCGTGTCCTGACCATAGACAGGTCTGTCTATGATCCTGAGACGGCGCGGCTCTCGGTAGACAGAGAGAGACAATCTTATTGTCTCTTTGATATTTTACGTAAACTTCCAAAGTGACTGTTGCTATAACTAATGACGGTAACAAATCCCGATGATCGCGCGTCGACGATAGAGAAGTTTTTCGCCGAATATCGCGGTCATTAGCGCGTTTAAGGGGAGGCGATTCGAAACAGGCGGTTCTCCTGAGAGGATTAAAAGAATGTCCATTCTATGCGCTTCGCGCGATTATTTTCCGAAGCTAAGCGATAGATCGCTAGTTTGGCGTGTTATTTTGCATCCGCAGAGGCTACGACCTGTGAATAAATGGTTTTTGTTGAAATGAATTAATTGTCGGAGTGTGTGAAAATCCTAACGTCTGCATCTCGATATACCATCATGTAAATAATAACGATATTGCCGAAAAGAAACACCTGCTTCTGCATCTGTTGTATACCATTTTTTTTTCTTTGAGGAGAAACTTCGTTTCAGATTAATCAGAAATCTAGTACGTTCGTGATTGTAAATGTAAGTACGATTGTAATAGAATATTAGATTATTTTCTTACATATTTTCTTTGAAAGCGTAACGCCAGAATATACTCGGATTGCATGTAAATTTATTTTAAAAAATGGCAGATATACAAGCTTTAAAGATTCTATATTTATCCATATAAACTTAATCTTACTATTACAGATACGTAATATAATTGATACATACACACATTACATTACAAATTTTACATTACAGTACAACGTACAACCGTCATATCAATTACCTAACTTTATTCTTTTCGTCCTGAGTCCGTGATTATATCAATTGATTATATCGGCAATTATTATAAATAGGAAAACTATTGACCATGCTACACGTAGACAAGACAAACGTTGAAATAATAATTCTAGATCTATTTCATTTAACTGCACTTTCATATTTTTCGATTTCAAACATGTATACATTTATTTATGAGCAGAAATAAAAAGAAATAAATAAAAATGAGTAAAAGTGCAGTTGAAAAATATAGATCTAACATAAGTAATGAGGAAGAAAGATTATCACTGATCTATGCACTGTTCTTTCTGATGTACGCCATATCTCCTTTGCAGTTCTTCCTCCATCGCCTGCAGTTGTTCTCTGCTCTGTTCCTGCGTCATCTGTTCCATTAATTCGTGATTATAAGTGGAATGCAACATTAGAGCCAATACACCGGCTCGCGTCGCCATGTTCGATCGTATTTGTCTCTCCTGCTCCACGAGTTCGTCAATCTTCAGCCACTGTCTCACTCTCTCCATATCAATCTCCGCTCGTCGTAGCTTTTCCCACATATAGTGTTTCACGCAGCTCTTCTTAGGCGCGCGACAGAACTCACCCGTAGCATCGAACACATTCGTGACCAATGGACAGCCACACACCTCGGTGTCACCGATCTTCGGGTCCTTACAATGTTCGGGGCAGAGAACGCGCAGTCTCTTGCAGTAAGTTCTGTTCCCCGGATTGTAAAAGTCGCAAAACATTACTTGGCCCTCGATACGTGTTTTGAAGATCGAACCGAAAGATGCCTGCGATTCATACTGCGAAACGAAAGAAATTGAATATAAGCATGTTTATTTCGAAAGAAAACTTTCATTTCATAGAATAATTATATTACTTGAATTAAATAAAAAGGGAAAGATGATAAACGCGCATAACATAATATTTAAATTTATACAAAAGTTATTAAAGATTCAAATGATCGAGAGTACCAATTTTTTGTAATTATATAATACCTTATTGAAACATTTTTCCATATGTTTAATTGCGGTTCTCGAGTGAACTTCATGGCCGCACGTGATACAGTACATGCTGCTCTCTGTGTCATCATTATCGTCCACTTCGGCTTGTGGATCAATAGACGCGTGCTTCGCGCGTTCAACAATACGGTCTAACTCAACATGTCTTTTTTCCAATTCCTGCAGTATCCTGCGGACGTCGTGCTGTTGCTTCCTCACGGCTTCCAGAGCGCGTCTATTATTTTGCTCCGCGATGCATGCAGTCAATGACCATTCCTGTATTCGCTGCGGAAGAACCTGATAGATCCTGCTCGTCGCCAGTTTCAGACCGCAATCGTCGGAACAATATTTACTACCAGGTCGCGATTGCTTCATGCACGCGGGTCCATAACAGTGGCGCGGTGGCTCCAAATATTCATTTCTTTCGTTACTCGAGTCTCTCCTTCGCCTTTTGGTCAATTTCGTTCCCTTATTCAGACTTTTCGAAGGTTTCAGCGGGTCGCCTAGTATACGGCAGGTTCGTTGAATACATCTGAGTTTCAGGCGCACCGAAGGTCCAAATTTCTTCAAATGCCTACACATACGAAATTCAAAAATATTAAAATGCAGAAATTTAATATAGGTATGACTAGATAAAATGAAATCTTCGGTGCCTAAATCTTTTTATTTCTAAATTAATAACAGAAAAATAATTAATTCCTAATTTATTTTATATTTCATCATCCAAAAATATTACATATATAAGCAAAATTACTTCGATATTCGTGAATTTTTGTTGATTACTCCTTACCTGCAAGCGTCACACTTTCCACAATTTTCTGTGCGTAGGCATCCTGTACATTCTCCGCAACGCTTGGAGGATTTTTTTTCACTAGGACCCCAAGGCGCGTCATATTCGTATCGATGTCCTCTCTCCTTTTCTTTGTATTTTCTATGTTTTCTGTCATCCTGATCAGTTCTACGTGGTTTGTATCGCGTTATCAAAGTTGGATCCTCCTCTCTACAGCGCTATAAACAGTAATTAATAAGAATTGCTTATTGATGTTAGATAAAATGTAAGTATTTTTGAGAAAAATGCTTACGACACAGAAGAATTGTTTAATATGTTTTGCATCCTTTTCAGTTATATTTATGCAATCACCATGGTACCATTCCTCGCATGCATCACATCCTCTGAAACAATACAGAAATTATAATGTTGCCATGCATCAGACACACATACATGGTATTTGAAAAAACAACTTTGAACTTTGTCTCTTGTAAAAAAAAATTTGCTTACATCATAAAGCGAGAACTGTCGGAACTTCTGCAAATACAATACGCTTGACCATCCTGTTTTAACAACGTTGCGATTTTGCTTTTTCTCTCTGGCAGCATAAACTGCTTTGCTATTTCCTCTTTCTATGTAAATTAAAATCGATTTAACATTTTTTAATAATGAAGAGGTTAGGTGACATTTCAGATGTTACAATGAATAAAAGAATTGAATAAAATAAATAAGATAAGGAAGTTAACATAAATCATGATGCTTTTTTAATACAATTTATAGAATTAATTAAAAAATTATATTTTGTTTAATATAAAACCATGCGTTTAACTCTTACCGATAAACTATGCTGTCTTTTATCAGCCATGATGAAGCGAATTTGAATCAACAATAGGAAAATAATACTTCTATCAATTTTGCAACATTTACATTATAATATTTACATGAATTTTGTTTACTACACACAAATCGAAATATTTCAAGATAGTATCAAAAAACAAGCATACAGTCCGTGGCCATGTTGATTGGCACTGTCGATACTATAGTTCACATGGTTTCACATACCAATCATAAGCCGTAATGTAATTAAATAAATAATAAAAATAAATGTTAGAAGAAAAATTTCTCGAGAATTTCAAAAAATATGAAAATATTTTCTAAAATATTCTTCCATCTTTTTTAAACTTATTTATAATATTCTTTAAAAAAGGCATTTTATATACGACACTTTATGAACGGTAAAAGCCCAAATTCTATCAAACAATTTTATTAAACTTGAATTATTTAAATTTTATTAAAATATATAATTAAATGTTATGTAACTTTTAAATAATACAATAATAAAATTTTAATCCCGTTAAGATGAAACTTTTCTTCTGAGACGTGGCTTTTCACGAGAATATAAAAAGCTAAATTATCGAAAAAAGTAAGCTCTCCGGTTTGCTTGCAATATCTTATATTTATTAGAAACTATACAACAACAATTATATCACAGGAATATATCCTAAAGTACAACGTACGCGAGACGCAGAGGTCCGCGTAGACTTCCATTCTCGTAACAAAGATCCACGAATCAAAAATATTTTTCGATAATCGCCGTAACAGACTCGCATAGATCTCCGGCCTCGATTTTTCTCCAGCGCGTCGTTTATTTAAAAAAATTCTCCTATGATCGACATTCGTTGTAGGAATGGTTGAGCTTGACAGGACAAAATCTGATAGTTCTGTCGCGCTGTGATATTGGTCGGATAGAGATTGCCGCGTCTGATGTTCTCCAGCATTATTTGCGGCTCGAATCTGGTCTTGGCGGAACTCGGCGTGGCGTTTCGTTGAGTACCACCCTCCGTCGCGAGTCCAGCAGCAGAGTATTGTTCGTCCGATAACATCGGTGATTCAAAACTGTCGGAATCATCGCTATCGTCAGCCTTGTAGATCGTCGACGAAGGCGCGAGGACCTGCGCCGTCGGCAGTTGAACGCTCGGAGTCGCGTTCTGATTCGAATTATCCTCGTCTCCCTCCTGCTTCTTCGCCTCCTCGAGCTTCGCGTTTTTTCGCGCTTGGACTCCAATGAGTCCACCGGATCCGATGTTCTCGACGAGGCGTTTGAAGATGAAGCACTCTCGTTGAGAGTATCCCTTTTCCCACTTGCGTGATGCCTGATCTCGGACAACTTCACTATCGTGATAGGCAGCACGTTTGGATGCTTGTTGCCGGCATTCTTTCCATGACGAAACTCGCTCGATGAGACGTCGTCCACCAATAAGTCCTTCATCGGCACGAATCTCTTCAATACCGATCTCTTGTCCGGAAAGATCTCTTGCGCAGGTCGGCAACAGTACAGAGCCCCGGGGTCGATCGGATGGGCCTCTGTGTTGAAGATGTATCCGCCGGCGTCCACCACACACTGACCCCACTGGGTGTTGATTATCTCACCGTGGGAGCCGGGATTGTGGATGAAGTTGTCAGTGTCGAAAAGAAGATACAGGTACTTAGTGGTCTCTGCTAAAAAGAAGGATTCCATCCGGTCTGCCTTGCGGTGATCTCGAACATCGTTGATAGTCGCGTAACCACAGGCGGTTTTCGCGCTGTGCTGCAGACTCCTGAGGATGTCCACTCCTACCTGGATCAGATAGGGATCTCTGGTCGCCCTGTAAAGATACATGACGGATTCAATGAGTTCCGGCCTAAGGGGATAGCCCTCCCTGTTGGTCCCCGCCTCGGCTTGTGGGATGTTGTAGAATTCCGGAGTGAATCCGAACTGCTTCCACACTCGATGGTAATTGTGCAGGGACTTCATGGCGTCTCCGATCTCGCCGAATAAACTCAGCACGCCGGGCCAGTACGCGTCCAGGGACTGGAAGACTGGTAGGGTCACCTGACCTTTGGTCATGGAGACCCAGAGATGCCAGTCCTCTCGACGAATATACTTCTCTATGGCTCGCTTATGCTCCTGGAATATCGAGGCTAGTAAAGGATCCTGAAACAGTAGGGTACCCTTCGCCAAGTACTCAAAATAGGAATCCACGCCGGCGCCTATGCCGGAATCCTGAGCGGTCCAGTGGCCAGTCAGGACGTCAATATGATTACCGACTAGGCCGATGCTGGATTTGTAATAATGAAGCGCCTTTATGGCGTTCATGGCGACTTCCTCGTACAATGGATCCCCGGTCAGCCTGGAGAGGGTGCCAAACTCCAGCAGGAAGGTGCCGATGCCAGCGGTGCATGTGATACTGGTCTCGCCTTCCGGTACGCCGTACTTGAGATTGACTGTGCCGTATGGCATCCCGGTGGGCGTATCGAAAGCGGCGATCAGCCTCTTGGCCATATCCTCGGCGAGGCGTAGCAGCGGGCCGTTGCAGGGCCAACCTGGTTCGAGTTTGACGCCGGCTCTGCGCGACAGCAGGTGGGCACTCAGCAGCCCGCCGACCACCCGGATATTTGTCTCGAACACCGACACGTTGATGTTGGCCTCGAAGTTCGCCCGCGTCCCGATCAGCTCGGCGACGCGGCGGAACTCGGAGAAGTTGCCCATGACCGCGAGCGTGTCCAGGGCGTCGATCAGGGTCAGGGAGAAGCTGCCCCAGGTATCGAAGCCGTCGCAACTCAGCGAGCGCAGTTCGTCGTACGGGTAGGCATGCGTCAGATAACCGGAGTACGCGTAATCGAACATGGATCGTACCTCCTCGCGCAAGGCGATCATATCCCGCCTGTTGTATTCCCGAAATCCGCTGACCAGGATCAGAAAGCCGAGGACCGAGCCCGCTCTGAAGAGAATCATCGCTCTCGTTCAACCGTCACCGACTCCGTAGCCGTTCATCCGTCATCGCCGCTTCTCCGTTCGACGTCCGTGCGACAGGTCCCTCGTGGCGAGCCTCGACCGTCCTACGTTCGCCACGTAATCAAAACAATCCCGCCGCAGCCGCCGCCGCCGCCGCGCGCCGTAAACATCGCGTTCCGCGCGACATCACCCTAACCTATACGCGAGCACCTGCGTTGCGATTGCAAATACGTATGTCCCGCGAGGTTGGATTCGCGCGCGCGCGCGCGCGCAATCACGCGGGACGCAGAACGCAGATTTTGTGTTCTGATTTTTTGTGTTCTCTCCAACCGTAGGAACCGAGGAGACGGCGAGCACACCGTAGAACCGGAGCTTGTAGCCTTTGGTTGACCCTTACATGACACAACTAAAGTTCGGGCACATGGGTTTGGATACGAAGTTGACGCTTATCACTATGGAACTGAAGACGCTGTTGCAAAACCGCGTTTCGACAAAGAAATGTATGTATACTATTCGTCTTTCAATGTAAGCAGCATATTTTTTTTCATTTTTTTAAAACATGATTTTACAAAAAATGGAATCATTCATGTGTACTTCGTTGTTTTAATAAGTTGTGTCGTTGCAGCAAAGGAGAACTGTCAAGAGAACGAGAAGAAAGAGGACGAATATTTTCAAAAGATATATCAACAGTGGAAGGGTATGAAAGCTAAAGATGACTCTACATATAAAATTATACCGAAGTTTTACTTTAAGGTATGTTTGAACATTGAAAGAGTGTTTAAATATATTTCTTGGATCTTTTTATGCTTGTCCAGGTTTAAATTCTGGTTGAGAGGATACATATTTTTTACAATAAAATATACTACTGTAAGGGATTTTGCATTGATATCATTGAATTGTTTATCATGGTATTATGAGAGAATATATAGTTTCTAGTTTTGACTAAAAATACCATTAAATATTTATAGTATGAAATGTTGGTCTATAAATATATTTATAATACACTTTTTGTTATAATTTAGCTGCCCAAAGAAGATGAGATTCTACCACAGAAATTACGTGAGGAAACACGTGCCTTATTTCTACAAAGACGTTCTCGACAGTTGCTTGACAATAATGAATTGAAGGCACTCTGGGTTTTGTTAGACAAACATCACAGCCCACCCTTGTCAGGAGAAGAGCAATTGATCAATTTTGAAGATTTTAAGAAAGTGGGCAAACTCGCGGGAGCCAAATGCAGTCCATATTTCACTGCAGTCGTCTTTGCCAAACTGCAGCAAGGAGATCCACATGGTAGAATCAGTATCATGGCATTGTTTAATTATGTTATGCGAAAAGTTTGGTTGCATCAAACAAGAATTGGGCTTTCTTTATACGACATTACAGGACAGGGCTATCTTAGAGAATCGGTAAGAGGATTCTGGGATTCTGATATTTGGAATTCTTGGAAAGAAAATGGCATTTATTTTTTTATTCTCTAAATTTCTCAGATTGCAGGCTTATAAGTAAAATGTATTAATTGCATTTAATAATATACTTTTTACTTATTAATTTACAGGATTTAGAAAATTACATTTTGGAATTGATCCCAACTCTGCCACAGCTCGAAGGCCTGGAAAAATCCTTCCATTCATTTTATGTATGTACAGCGGTCCGGAAGTTTTTATTTTTTTTGGATCCTCTTCGAACTGGGCGCGTTCGTATTCAAGATATTTTAGCATGCAGTTTTCTGGATGATCTTTTGGAATTGAGGGACGAAGATTTGCCAAAAGATTTGCAAGAAGCGAATTGGTTCTCTGCGCCTTCGGCGCTTAAGGTATATGGACAGTATCTCAATCTTGACAGAGATCACAATGGGATGTTGAACAAAGAAGAACTTGCTGGGTAATAAATCACAAAATTTTATATAAATTTCATATATAATATTATGTAAAATATATAATATTGAATTAAAAGTATAATTATTTTATTAATAGATACGGTACCGGTACTTTAACCGGTGTTTTCCTCGAAAGAGTATTTCAAGAATGCTTAACTTACGAAGGCGAGATGGACTACAAAACATATTTGGATTTCGTCTTGGCATTAGAGAATCGGCACGAACCTCAAAGTCTTCATTATCTCTTTCGCATTTTAGACATTAACAATCGCGGTTACTTAGATACTTTTTGCCTCAATTATTTCTTCAGGGTATGTATTTTTATTATAATAGAAATTTTTTTAAACTAACTCCTAAAATAAAAAATATTTTGCAGGCTATACAAGAACAAATGACGATGCATGGGCAAGAACCTGTTAGCTTTGAGGATGTCAAAGATGAAATATTCGACATGGTAAAGCCAGCTGATCCGTGTAAAATTACGTTACAGGATTTACTTTCTTGGTAAGATTTCTCGAATTCAATCTCGAATTCAAAATTCAAAATTCGATTGTAATAAAATATAATATGTTATAACTAAATTAAAATATTTTAATTGCAAAAGTGGACAGGGTGACACAATGATCAGTATTTTAATTGAGTTTCACGGCTTTTGGGCATACGAGAATCGAGAAGCTATGGCAGCTGATACTGGAGATGAATCATCTCATGTATGACGAAGTACTTCCCATCCCAGAATACGAGATAAATATCCCACCGGGATAGATAATACGCGATTGGACATTAACACTTGATATGTTTAAAACAACGTTGTGATGTGACTCGTTTTGTAGTAATAAATTTTATAATTTATTGTGTGCCAGAATAGGCAATCATCATCATCACATGTATAACTTTTATACATCGAATTAATATATATTATTTTTTAATATTTTTTAATTTTACTATCATAAATGTTATACTAACTCTATCATGTAACATTGTGTATGTGTATGTGTATGTGTTTTTTGTAAGAAAAATAATTTACTTTTAATTCAATACTATATGCTTTTCGTTCCATATAATTAAAACGATTCGAACAATTTATAATATTTAAATTTTTAAATTTATGATCCATACCGTACGACAGTTTTTCCACGTGCCAATCACATATGGCGCGATTTCAAACTATGAGATTGGATAAAAGCGGCATAAAACCATCAAATAGGTAAAGTGGAAGGGAGGCGCCTCAGCGGAATCAGCTGATCAACACATCCGCATAAAAATTACATTTCTACCAATGTAGGTTGACTTTATCTTGATTTAATTTACTTTTTTTAATTATAAAGATTAAAAAAAAGAATATATTAAAAGATTAAAATTAATAGAAATGGTAGGAAAGAATGGTAAACACAAAAAGTAAGATAACCGAGAAAATTAATCTACATTGATGAATATGATAATCGGTGACATGTAAGCGATATAAATGGCTTGAATACTAAGCAAAATAACAAATAGATAAGAATTTACATTTTGAATAATTCTCAGTTTGATGAGTTTGGAACATGCTCCAGAGATCCAATGACAGAATTTAATTTCTAGTAACCTCCACAAAATAAACTCGTCCATTGGGCGCTGAATGTTCCTATATCAGCTTCAACGTAACTTCAATAATTGTCTTAGAAAACGAGGAAAACAATTAAAAAAATTAACCTAAAAATTCTAATTATTAAGAATTTGAAATTCGCATCTTATTTAACTTTCTCAATTTATATCAAATTCGCTGACGAACGATTATCGTTGCATTTCAGATATGTAGATTACATCATTACGTTTGTGCATTACATATGTGTTTACAATTATATGAAAATAAAATTTCTCTGCTTTCGCACTTTTCCTTGGATTTGCAAATTTACACACACTTGCGGAGAAATGCTATGTCCAATAGTAATTGCGCAATAATTTTTCCTCACTTTCATTTCGCGAGAAGATTCGAAAACGGATTCGAAACGGATTTCCCTTCGTCGATGTCTATATATGGACAAAAATAAGCGCGTGGAGTGCGCATGCGCATGATACAGTGCGAAGAGCATGAGTCTGTTCTTTTTAGCTGAACTGGCTGCGCTAGTTCAGAATGGATTCTTTCCATTTAGTGATACAAGTCGACACAAGTATCGTTCTATCTTTCTTGGCTATCAATGATTAACAAGGACAAAATGACACTTGTGTCAACTTGTGTCACTAAATGGAAAGGCACTCAATTTATCTTTCTTCTTCCACTAAGATAAGAAAGAAAGAAAGATAAACTGTGAACCAGTAGTACAACCAGTTCAGCCAAAAAGAACAGGCCTCATGTCTGGTAGACGAGGGCGGAATTTTCGATTTCTCAAATGCGACTCTTCTTGCGAAATATATAGGACATTTATTTAATGAACAGCATCTGTTCTATAAATTGTATCTTGATATTAAATGCGTATTAAGCTCGAATTTAGAGCTTGGAGGCAAGCTCGAATCATACGAGATTTAAATTTATTCACTTTGAAAGCATTTTGCTATACTATTTATTTTAACATACAATAAAAACTTGCAATCTTATACAGTTTGTATACCAAGAATCTATGTGAATCAAACTCTCTTTTTTTTCTCTCTCTCACTCATTCGTTCTTTTATTATTTACTGTATGATTTTTTTTATACAAATATAATGATTGAATACATTTTCTTTCTGTGCTGATATAATTTAAAAAATTTATTGTATCTTTATCTGCTCTTAACAATTTTCTTGCAACGACAGACACATTGAAAATAACGTCGAAAGTATGTCTTCGAAACTGAAATATTTTTTATAGATATATAACACAAGAGAGAGCTAGAGTTATAGATAATGAAAATAAAACGATAATACAATGAATCAAATTCGTTTATTTAAATTTATCATTTAACCTCAATAGAACGTCGCGCATGACTAATGATACGATAGTATGACTTGTAAAAACAGAATGTATTAAAAAACTTGATTCCTTTCTCAAGATGTAGCTCGCATCTTCGACAGGAAATATTCCTTGGCGTAATGTTTTTTCGTGTGATTGCTAAGCTAATTCGACAACACAAAAACTCGAGATAGGATGGTACCTAAATAAGAGCTAAACGTACGTTGCGATCATTTAATTTACAAGTATCCACTGTATGGCTCGTAATAATATAGTAATAATAATAATGATATTATTTTACAACTTCGCTCATTGATCGTCAGATAAAAACACACACCTTCACCTACACATGTTCAGAGCCTGCTGCGACGATACTATTTTATGCAAATTACTCACAAAATATCTTCAATCGCCCTTACCTAAAGGCGATAAGATAAGTATAATATCGACGTATTTCACTTTAAAGCTCTACACTGATTTAACATACATACGACAATCATTATGCGATTCATTGCAATTAAGAATTAATCCTCGGTCGAACCCAATTGTACTGTATACACATTTTATCTCACGCAAAATCATCAAAGATTTCTTTATCCACATTCATGCCCGACAAAGTACACTAATTCATCAAGTATTCACTGAAATCCTATTATATGTATAATGATCAAATAAATGCATTAATCATCTAACAAGTTAAATAGGTCGCTGCTTTATATATATTTATATAATGCTTTTCTTTTCTTTACATGGCTTTGAATTACTCGGATTGTTAGATATACTATATATCTGCGCGTTCATCTAGTAGATATAAGTTTTTTTTATCACCTGCACGCCTGTGTCTCTTATATCACTTTAAATGTTCCATCATTTATCATGTTACGGAAAAAAGAAAATTTTATATTGGCATTGTTTGCTGAAGTATAATTGCGACTGAAGAAAAATATATCGTTTTACTCAAAAGAATATGGAACAAGAAAAAGGTTTCCTTTGTATTAATTATATTATAACAAATTCATGTATCAATACATTAGTTTAAGCTATCACAAGTAAGCTTACATATAAATATATAATTCATGTTAAATTTCAATAGCTGATAATATGAACAAAACAATTCTGTGGACTGTAGCATTTTCTTAATTCGGAAGAGATGCCAAAACGAAATCTAATATAATAGTGTTGTAGATTTCATAAAAAATTATATATATATAGAGAAAGTCATGTTTATGAAATATATATATATAAATATATATATATATATAAACATATAACATACATCGACTCATTTGAGAGCAATTCTGAAAAATGGTAATGTTATTTTTGCCATATCCACCATTTTTATAATCCTGGATTCTATTAACTGGAAATTTAATCTGTAAAAGTTTTATCCTAGAGAGATACCATTCTTAGATAATTTATTTTCTCTGAGAAGTAGTTCTTTCATTTTATTACATGAAATAGCATCGCTAGCAGGCAATTGTTCCATTATCCACAACGGAAACTCGAATCTTTTTTAAAATCCTATAACAAACAAACAGTCACCGCATTTCGGGCTTACCTCCTTAACAAGGGTGTAGTTTTTTCATTTTGCAGACTTGGTTTTAGTAAGTAATCGATATCTGTCTATTTTTGACGGTGATGATGGTGATGTCGCAGGGATAATTACAGCTCAAAGGATACAATAATTCCTTTAACAGAGTGTTTCTCATTCAAATGTGCAGAAAACAATAGACGAGGACAGTTGATTCAATCCTGCATCTCTTCCGGCATATCATGAGGATTAATAATGCCTGGTACTGCCATTTGCTGTCGCCTTTTCTCTTCTTGGGCTAATCGTAGAGCTGTTTCTCGTTCCTCCAAGTAAAGCTCAGAATCATCCTCACCCGTATATTCCTGAATAAGAAAAAAATACATTAATTTGTTTTAAATCTTATAAAAATAATTTTCGTCAAATGTGACAGCTGCTACTTTGTTCGATTAGCTTTCAAAAAAAGATCAGCTGTCTCATATACATTTTTAGATAAACTATACAAGCATAAATGTTTGAATATTACTTACTTTGATTTGAACGAGAAAATCTCTAAGGTGTTCTTTGAATGCGGTGATATCTTGATTAAGATGGAACAAACCTTGCACAGTGATTTTAATCTGATTATCAGTTAAATGCGGAAAGGCTGCTTTAAGCAATCTTGCAACAAAATCTTGTATGAATAAAGCATTATCAGGCACAGGGCCGAGCGGCACCTGAATTTTCCCACGTTCAATCAGTGTAAACATATAAGCGAGAATAGTCGCGTGCATAGTCAGACCTGTAAATAAGAATAAAATCAAATGAAAATAATGTATATTAATCCAATTAAATTAATGACAATTGTATATGTATAGAAATATATTACTTTACCTGCAGTGTGTGATGTATCTGTGACAACACTGAATACATGTTGCAGAATATCCGTAAAATATGTTTGATAAAAACTTTGACCAGCTTGTTCATGCTGTTCAATATTTAGTAGAAGTTGATAAAGAATTTGTAAACCTGTATCTGCTACATTCCTCATCGTATGTTTAAAAGCCCAAATGATCGAGTCAAGAACCAGCTTGAATTGAGCCGGTGGAATTGAAAGAAATGCAGGGAAACAATGAATATTCACCGCCTGTATTGAAAAAAACAAGGATAAAATAATAAACGTATAATAATTATACAACTTGTAAAAAGTCTTAATTATATAAAAACGAGCAATTGGATATTGCTTTCATTGCTTACTTGTAAGAGAAGGAAAAAATTTGTCCTGTGTTCAGGAAATTCTTCGAAGTCTTTGTTTATCATTTCTAAAGTACATTCAAATACTGCATCGAATATTTTGGGCACCTCGCTAGTGATATGAGCTTCCAATTTATTTACTATGGTAGCCATAGCACTAAGCACTTCAGGTTCTCTAGCACAATGAACATTTGTCTTTTGATAATCCAGTAAAACGGCGTCCAACAATGGCGGTATAAAGTTCTCCAATACCTAACGAAGATATTTTTATAAAAGATAAATTAGAGATAAAAAAAAGAAAAAAATAAGTGAAAATTTGTAAGTAAGAAAACTTACCATTTGATGATCATTCGTTCTGCTCACCCAATCCGAAATTAGTTTCAACGTTTCCTTTTTTACTACTCTCATACTCTT